AGAAAATAAATATTAGAGAATATAATAAGAGAAATCAATATCTATAAATTATTATCATCACCAATATCAAATTTTAAATCAATAAATAAAAGACAATCCAGAAAATCAAAAACCTTTAATTTTTTTATAATCGAATATTAGATAATACTATCATATATATATATAGAAATATTTTTAAAAATTCTAATATTACCACAATATTTCGCTAGAAAATATTTAAAATATCGAAAATAGAAAGAATCTTATTTTGAATTCCCGATCCTAGTATTTAGAATAAAAAAAAATTAAATTCTCCTATTTTCGGAAATCCCATATTTTATTCATTTCCAAATTTTTACACTATAATAATCATAAAATAATATGGCCTCGAGACTATCATTATATATAAATTCTAAAATTTCCTTTTATCGTATTATTAAATTAAATATTTAATTTCAGAAATTAATTTACTCTCTTAATTATCCACACTTATCGAATAAAATAAATAATTATTCAAATCTTTTTTTAAGACCAGAATCATTGCTGCTCTCTTAAGAGAAAGAATAACTCGAGAAAGAAAAAATAGGATATACGAACTTATTAAAATCGTATAATAACTAAAAAAAATTTGAATTATAATATCATACTAAGAATTGAAGTAGTAGTCAATTTTAAAGTCGCAATATTTCCCTAAGAGCGTAGCCGGTTGCGAGTTTTGGGGGAGAAAATTTCGAGATTGACCGAATTCAGGACCGCAAGCAAAATTCTCTCCAGCGCGGAGCTGGCTCATCTGGCAGCCCTAGACGTACCGAGAAGGCCGAACCCCGGCGACGAGGCAACGATATCTGACTTCACGTTCGACCATGAAGACGTGTCGACTGCCCTGAACGAAGCAGATAAGAAAGGTTCGAGGGTCTGTTTGGTCGTTGATCGACGGCAGGCCGCAAATGGCTTGCGAACAGCTTCATGTTCTCCAGATTCCAGCTAGGCTGGAGATGTGCACCGTCCAAGGCTTCCCTCTTCCACCCGCATAAGCCGAAGCCGGGGCACGAGGTGAGTGCTTAAGGGTACTCCCCACCCACTGGACGACCGTATCACGGGCCAACCGTGCTACAAGCGTTTCGGGGATTGCTTCGGCAGCCGCAGCGTCAGAAACAAGCAGGACGTTGCCCCCGGCAGCACCAGGAGTATTAAACCCCTGGGCTCGGGGGGCGGCGTGTCTCTGCATCGTGCAGAAAACCCTAGCTCGTGATGTTGACTTTCTGCAAAATGTGGCATTTTGCCGTGTGCATGCGGCCAGATAGAACCACCCCCTACGGCCCTGTCCTCCCTACCTGACGATGGGGCGATTGTCGAGATTGAAAGACTTCGAACACCTAGCCTTAGTTGCAAGCAATGGCTGCGCTGCGACCCTGTGTCTAGAATTAATTCCGCGTAACTCACAGAGATTAAAGCACCGCACACCACACACCCCACCACACACTTTCAACCCAACCCCTCCACCGCGCCCCCAACACCCCCTACATTCAAAACGAACAAGGCAAATTATGCGCCCGTCCTCCTACATCTAACACCAAAACAAAGGGTTGGATCACCCAAAACTGTGTGTAAATCTACTTACACCCCCAGACCTTACACCTGGGGTCAAGGGCGCAAATGCAAATTTGCGCCGTTGGAGCTATCAGGAGAAACCGCACTCCGAATATGATGCATCATCCCGACTCGTCACTGCACCCCCTTCGGCCACCTAACTGACCTAACTCACTCAATCAGCCTCGTACAATGCAATCCTACAGCGCATCCTCGTCGTTCTGCCGGTGTCAAACGCACCCGTTCCTGTGCGAGCCTTGCCTTCCTCGCTTTCCTGCTTGGCTCCGCATCCACCTCTCTTCTTACAAAGCTTCTCTTCACTCTCTCCAGTACTGACTTGTTCCAGCCCTGTGAAAGCATGACTCTCCTCTGTCTCCTTCGTAGCATCCCTTCATCTTCACCCTTCATAGACTACCTGTTTCTTCGACCCTCCCGACATCTACAAGCGTTGGGGTTATCTCACATCAGCTGGTGAGAATACACAACAATGCCGGCAGACGCTGGTTTGGGGAGAATACACATCAGCGGGGAAATTACACATCAGGACTGGCTAACGCAGCAAATGGGCCAAAGTGCCGTTCTTCCCTCTGCCACCGAATTCTGGATGCGACTTTGCAGCCGAAGAGGTTCCCCAAGCTTCCTAAGCCCTAAACCCTGAACCCTAACGCTAGCATCGACATTCTCACTAGATGTCCATTCCTCATCCTCCTCTTCTTTGACCCTCGTCATTCGGGGCATGTTGGCATGCAGTTTTACCATTTTGTTTGGATACGAGTGCACAGGGGCCGACACGACTGCCACCAGATCCAGTCCTGACGCCTGCGCTCCCTGGCCCGAGAATTTTGCACCTTGATGTCGTCATGGTGGCTGGTGCGAAGTGTCGCGTTTGTTTATCGGGCTAGCTTCGGATTTGGTAGCTTTTTGGCACCTGCGCGGCTGTTCCGGGTTGGCAGCTTCGTAGTTTCGGTGGCAGCTTCCCCGCCGTCGCATGGTAAAGTACAAGCATAAGATAGGACAAGCAAGGTTTCTTTGGAACCCGAACTGCCTTTCAAGTCTTGTCAAAATAATAACCCGTTCCAATTTCATGTGATTGATGCGCATGTATCTTGCAGGGACGGGACAGAGAAAAGGAGAGGCAAATCCCGAGGTACGGTTGCTGTCACCACAGTATAGATTTCAACTCGAAAGTATGATCTTCGGAGTTCTGATCGATTAAGTGACATGCAGAAAATGCTCAATCATGTCCATTTTGCCCTGCAAGCAACTCACCGGCATAATCAATGAGCAATGCGCCAGACAGCATAACTTATCGACCCCTCGTGCATCTCAACCGAACCGCAACAAGTAATTTGATAAAGCTCAAGCTTGAAAGCGCATGCCGCATCATCAACTGCCAGGCTGATGTCAATCAAATCCGCAGAGCCAAACCTGCGAAAACCCCAAGCTTCAGTTGGGCCTACCCGAGCTTCCACATGTGGACGACAGCTGCCTGATCCAGATCAATGCCTCCGCCGAATTATGGGTCCAGGGGACCTGGCCGGCAAAGGGCGCTGACTGCAAGCATGGCCTAAGGGCTCCCGCATGCTCCCGCCTCCTGATTGGTGACACGTCGGACTCGCTGGAAGCTGCACCAGCAGCCACTTTGGCCTCGCTGTTGCTCCCAACTACATCGATGAACAGATACCATCTTGCAATCATGTCTGCTGAGGTCCAGGCTGCCCGAAGCTTCACGGAGAGCTCCGAAATCCGCCGCCGCAGTTCCTCAAATTGTCAGTGCGAGGAGCCGCGGCCGGCAGTGCAGCTCAATTAGTCACGAGCCCCGGCCTCCTTCTCTGCATCGGTCTCCTGCATGCAGCTGCGCCAACGCAAAGCACAGTTGGAACTTGGCACCAAACAAAGGGGCTTCTGTTTCAGCTCGCATCCTGCTGCACTGACTTCATGCTGGCATGCAGTGGGCAGAGGCGAAGTTAGAAGCTCCAGAGTTGCTGGCTGCCAATTACGCGTCTTGAACTCTCTTGGCTTGCCGATCAGCCGAGACTCAACCGTTGTACACGTCTTTTTATCAAATCTTCAAATCCACCGTGTACGTCTTGCAGCAACGACACATCTTACCCAGTTGTTGCCTCGTCATCACTTTCCATCATGTGTCGCTCCTGGGATGTTTCCCGCACTACCACTTCCACGTAGGCTTCACAAACGAATTCCGAACACATGTTGCGACTGCAACCACTGAGATACAGGCACACACCCACGCGCCAAATCTGCTTCGTGCTTTGATGACCTCCACCAGTGCTCGCTGCAAAACTCGCAAGCTGCCCGCGATGCCGCTGGCCTTGCGCAGTTCCTGATGCTCTCTTTTCAAAGCCTTAACGAGAAGTCTTTGCAACTGCCCACCCAGGGGCACAGGTTTGATTGACGGCCACCTGCTTCTCAGCATCCGGGCTGTGCGCTGCCTGTCAAAGCAACATGACAGTGCCTGCAAAAAACGGCCAGTCATGCATTGCAGACGAAAAAGAATACACGGCGTTTGATTCACGAGATCTTCAGTGTTGGTACTTGTCCGCTCTCCGTCTGCGTAGCCTGATGCACCTGTTGTCAACCTGGCATGAAAGCCTTCGGCCCTCGGCCTACGAAATGGCGAAACTTAGCAAACGACAGCAGGCCTGCATGGACCGCAGCTGCTCCTGTCGGGCGTGGTCACCGTCTGCTATACATACGACTGCAGCCGTCTTGCGTTGTGGAATGCACATCCGCGAAGAAAGCGGATTCCAGCCAACGTATTCGAAATGCAGTGGTGCACTTCTATACCCGAAAATGAAGCCTTTAAGGGAGAACTCAGCGGGCTCTGGCCACCAGGGGTTCGGGGCTTTGCCCTTCTGGCCCTTGCTGGGCAAGTTAGTTTGGCAACTCCACACTCTTGCACAACCCACATACAGGTCACGTACACCCGAATCCTCGAGGTGGACAGGGGCTTTGGGGATCCCCGAACCTCTCCTCACGAACAAGAAACAGCGATAGCGAAGCATGTATGTATATATATATATATAGACATAAATGTGCATGCATGCATGCATGCATGCATAATGCATACATGCATAACGCATACATGCATACATGCATGCACGCATGTGTGCGTACATATGCGTATGCATATCTACAGAATATGATGGTATAATTTCAAGGTCTGAATATTACCAAGACTATTCGTTGTAGAGTTGCTGAAAATCATGCTAAGATATACTTGCGCCCCCAAGCCCGTTCGGCTTATCAAGGCCCCTCGATCATTGGATTTTGACTTGCTGGGCGTCGGGTTCAAGGGGCAAGGTCTAAAGTAGGGGTCTTAATACTTAGAACAGCGTTTTCGGGCCCAATAACTCGACCATACGTCCCAAACCACACCTAGCCTTGATTGACTTGTGGTTACAACACCTTACAACACTTACACCGACTACCCACGTGAGGGGCAGAAGATTGCAGAAGTAAGTTTTGTCTGGCCTGCAACTCTTCGACACGGACTTCCAGCGCCTGCAAGGCTTTGTTTAGGCTGAACAACTAAGTTCCCTAACGACTCTGGAGGCCATTGGAGGCCTGTCTCTCCTCTTCCCATCGTTCTCTCTCGGCCTGCACCTTCACTTCCCACGGAGCACTTCCGAGAATCCACACTTTCTAATTCTGAGTAGCCGACCAAAGCGACGATGGAGTCCACGGACGTGTGGCCCTGTCCCCCACATGCCCCATCGCGACACTCTGCTCTCCTTGATGCGCCGGGCCGTGCACCTTTTTTGCAGCCGCCTCAGCTGCCAAGTTCTCGCCCACGTCCAAAGCGTCAGCCCGCCTCAGCGTTCAGGCTAGGCTCCGGCCATGAAGGCCACTGCCCTGAGAAAAAAGACTCTGACACGCGCAGTCGTTTGTTGGCTTGAGCTTCCGTGGCACACCACAATTGCATGGGGGGATGCGGGCCCACACCAACCCGGGGGCACTGTTCGAGCCATGCTTAGAAGGGGCGCTACCACAGATGGATGAAGTGGGTTGTGGCATAGAAATCAGTACGGCAAACAAATCTGATCATGGTGTCGAAGTTTCGTGATATGCGTACTGGCGCTGTTTCCGGCGTGGGCCTTGTGTTTGCGACGTGCGAGCTGAGGCTTTAGAATGCCTTGCCTGGAAGGTTGGGCCTCGCAACTGTGAGGTACCAGTACCAGAACTGTCGATCAGGATGCCGTGCCAGCACCCGATTTGAAAGTTTCAACCACGAGCTGAAGCCCTAGTGTTCACTTTAGAGCTTGACTGCCACTCCGGTTTCAGTCGCACGATGCCGGGCTTCGACGACTAACAACAACAAGGACAACAAGGCACGATCCCCTTGTAAAGGCTAGCAGGCCAATGTGCGTTTTGCATGGCCTGCGTATGCCTGCGTGGCACCAACGGCATGTCAGTTCACGTGAGCATGCTTTATCCTCGTTTTCAAAGGTTATATGTATAATATGTATATATAGATCGAATGCAATCAAGACGGCAGAAATTCATGGGACAAAATTTTCGGTATATCGCAAACATGGTCCCCGTTGCTGTTGCACTTTCGTGTGGGAAACGCTTGACGCAAATTTTACAAGAGCACGTTGTTGGTTTGCGTCTTGTCGTTTCGCCTGGTTTGTGGGTGAAAACGCACTTCGCGCACGACGAAATGATGAACGTGGCAATGTGAAGATGACCAAGAGGAAATTGATGATGCAGAGGGAAAGACAAAGATGACGAGGAGGTTGAGGAAACACCGTAAATACCGAGGGTTTTAGCAGGTCCGGAAACCGTGAATTTGGAGGTGCTGGGGACACCGACGCTGTACTCAGTGAGTGTCCTACCCTTCCAATCGAATGGCTGCAAAGCCACACCGATGTTTACAATGCCACGTGACATGCTAAAGAGTGCACTTCTGGCAGCCAGTCCTCACTCCCCAACTCTTTCTTTGTGCCGCGGTATAACAACACTGCTGATATGAAGCCGCTTCTCTGCAAGCAGCATGACAATCTCGCTTCCGACTGAGTGCGCGTCCAATTCATTGAGGATGCATCACTCTTCTTTCCAATAGACGACGTGTCGCTACCTGCCAGAAACCTCCAAATTACAGCAAGCCTGCCATCTTGGGCTGAGTTCACTGCCGGCTCTTTTCCGCGCATCCTTGACCCGCATGCTTCTAATAGTAGCAAGTCGCTCGCAACAATCACGGACGGGCAAGCAGCAGCTTGTCAGTGAATCGTCCACGCAAAGACAGTCGTCTGATGCAAAATTAAGCAGTATCTCCTCGTCCTCAGCTTCTTCATCGCTTTCTTCGGGTCTGTCTAAAGTCTTGAGCTGCTCAAGCCTGGGGGAAGTCAGGTCAACGCGAGAATACGGTTTGTTTCCGGACAGTTCAAAGTCCCAAAGGTCCGGCCCTTCAAATGTGATTCGGGTGGTTTTGCGTTTGGAGATCTCCTTGCCATCCTGCCGGGACGCAGGCGCTTGACCGCATGCGTGTGCAATGGATACAGACATGCACCGACGGTCCCTTAGGGAAGGTCGTAAGGAGACAGAAGTTTCGGAGTCGCTGGCCACCTCCTGACGATGACGCTGCGGATTGCCCCCATGCGTCGAGCAGCTTCGAAATCACGCCGGGTCTGCACTTGCCGCTGCACTGACCACTGTGGAAGTTGCCGGCGTGTCGCCGTCCTGAAACCAGCAAGAAACTGCACACAGGGCGCTTTCAACGCCAGCAGAATTTTGCAAACTCTTCGAAACCAATTCGACGCACGTGTTACATTTTCAGTTGCTTCTGACTTCGGCAGCATCCACCTTCATTCCTAGTGACCTGTAACAACATCAGGAAGATGCTTGACGGGATCTTTGAATGCCGCTTTGCATCCAAACAAGGGCTCCTCTAAATGGGATACCAGGTAGGCCGGTGTCAGCGCTCCTCCGATGCTGCCCCTGCGCGAGCTGCTCAATGCATCACAACCGGAAAAGGTAGTGGTGCAGCATAGGTCAAGCACCATCATGGAATCAGCTAGCTTCCGTCAGCCGGTGCTAAACAAATAAGACGGCAGTGCTGGAGCTCGCATCACTCTGTCACAAACTCAGCTTTTGGAACATCTTGGAACACAGGCGCAGACATTGATGTAGTCCATCGCCTCCCACGCAAGCATGATTGCTTGGACAATTCGGAGCAGCCAGCATGTTGCCTCTTGTCAGAGCGTCGGACCCGCCACTGGGATTCGACAGCCCTGGACTTAAGGGTTCCTCTTTCTGCACTGCGCATCGATGGATCGAGGCCGACTGCCCGGCTTTCCATTCGTGTCTTTGTCGGGGCAGCCTTCTGCCTCAAGAACTACGTCATGTTACCTCTGGCACCGCTTTTGCCGATAAGAGCATGTAAGAGCCAAGCAGACACGGCGCGCTTGAAGTTGCCCGGAGCTGATGTTAGGTCCGCGCAAATCTGAACCTCACACTGTTCCAGAGTCTCAGACGTCAGATCTTGTGAATCCGTGAATGAACAATCGCTGAGCTTGCGAGGAGAACCAGGTGTCGCAGGGGCACAATATTTCACGAAGTGCAGTGAGGGGAATGCTAATCTGCAGGGCTGTTGTGGAATACGATTTGCTGGCTGGGTCCTCTTTTCGAGTTCCCCGTCCAGTGTGCATCCGACTTGGGGTTTATTCCTGTATAGTGGCCAGCCTTTATGCGGTGAGGTTATGGTGCACGTCCAGCGCACATCCGATCTTCACGTAGAGTGGCGAGTTTTGCCGCCTGATCAGTACGCGATGGCGGTTGCCGATTGATCACATTTCCTTCATCCGACCCTCCTTGGGCGATGCGGCTGATGACCGCTCATGAGACGAGAGCGCTTGAATCACACTTTTAAATGCACGCACTCATGACATCTCGGCAGTTGCTCCCACGTGTTAAACACACGCAACGGCGATGACATTACTAAACCCGCCCTTGAGCACACTTCTTACACCCGCCCCCTCAACAGGCGACATTCCTGAAACCGTGCCCTCATCAGGCGATGGTGGTTGATCACGTTTTCTCTTGAACCCGCTCATCAGGCGGCGGTGGTCGACCACATCGACTCACTAGGCCCACTAAGCGATGGCGGAGATCACCATCATCAACAACACCACCTGCAAGGCTGGTACCTGACCAGTAGGACAATCATCGTTCTCGCCGGCATCACCATCGTCATTGCCACCATCTCTCCAACATCAGCATCAGCATCATCATCCCCAGCACCACCACCATCATCATCACTTAACCATACTCATATTCGCATTCATCCTCATCATCATAATCGCCACCAACATCTCCACCATCACTGAATTATCACCACGAACATCATCATGGAGAAGTGATTGCACTCGCTACAGTGACGGTAACTTGAACACTACTAGCAGCGATAATGGCTATTATTATTATTATTATACTATCTAGAAATAGTCGCGATGAAGGTGCGCTTTCCGTTGTTTCTGCTGTTGTTTGGTTCAACCTGGCTTGCCATCTTCGTGTTCGTCCGTTTCTTCTCTTTGCATGTCCTGTCTTTCCTTCCGTCCTTCTTTCGTTCTTTAAGCTTGTATTTGTCCCCTGCGTTCTTTTTCGCTCTGTCTCGGTTCTTGTCCGATGTCTTCTTTGCTTTCTGTCCACTTCGTGGATCTTCGTTTCGTGCCTTGGGGGAGGAGGGAGGCAGGGAAGGGCCACAACTGAGCCACACCTTTGAAGAACGAACACTTGACAGGGTTGGCACGGACTTGCATCTTCAGGTGTTGTCGTCTGGTTGCGTTGCTGAGCACTTCGTTGTTGGTGTGCCAGAAAGCAGGTGTAGTGTGCCTGTCGAGGCTATCATTCCCGGAGGCGCGACCTCAAGCGCTGGCCTAGACGGCTCTCGCGTCTCCATCTGTGATGTGGTGACTAATGTGGTGACGTTTCCTCAACTCATTTGTTGTTGCTTTCATGCTTGCTGCTGTTCCCTGCAACTTGTGCACTTCAACATTCCAAAAACAAAAGACAGATGCTCCGCAGCCACGCCTTTGTCAGCCGCTCCACAGCTCCCTCCAACTCGTGCAGGACCGCCTCCTGGTTTGAAGCCGTGCACACGCTGCGTGCTGAGCTGAACATGGCCTGGCCTGCAGCGTGGACAAATGGGGTTTCAAGGCATCTCGGACCTGAGACCGTGGCTCGGGGCTGCAGCGTGTAAAGTAACGGCACGGCCCTCCTGGCCTGTCTTTCCATCGGAGTCTCGGCCTCTGCCGAGGGAGAGCCAGAAGCACCTCTCAGGCAGGCCGTGTCCCGATTTGCCGCCACCGCGGATACGAAGAGACATTGGCCCGGCGAAGGCCGCGCACCTTGATGTCTGCTCGCAACCTGAGAGGCGGCACTCAAGGGTGCCTCAAACGCAGAGCTACCGTCGGCTACCGGCTCGTGGCTATGGCCTTGTGATGCTTTGCCAAGGAGCGGGTATATCTTCAGGCTTTCTCCCAAGCTCATTGTCTTTCTGCCTATGATGAGCTCGTGTTGGCGTCTTGAATCACTCCATGTCCCTATGAAAGCTGCCTGGATCTTGGTTGCAGAAGCAAGGCGCGCAGACCCATCACACAGCCTTGGGCAAATTGTCTTCCAACGGCTGAGAAAATTCAGTGCATGTCCTGGTTCCCACGGCTCTGGATCCTTTCAAGTGCGTGATACATGCCGACCTAGAAAATCCCCCATATTCCCCCATGTGTTATGGACGTGACGGACCGATTCTGCAATAAATCGACTGCACGATAGGCCGATAGGCATGTTAAGCGAAGGCGTGATAAATAGGGCTTATACGGTAGCTCAAAAATACCAGTCGTCAGAGCACGCAACGAAAAAACAGCAGAAGAAACGAATTCCAACAAAAGGTGCGGCAAAAGTGGAATTAGTGCGGCACAGCCCGCCACACTCTGCCGGAGTTTCGCAGCTGGGTCCGGCTCAGCGTAGGTGTAGCATCGTATAGTGATGGAGCACGCGGCGGTGTCACGGCAAACACACGGGTGGAGAGCACCTCGCCCAGACACGTGCAGACAATGACAGGATGACCTTGCAACAACAGAACCCGGATAGGGGCCGTCGGTGGAATTAACCGGGTTTCCAGGGAAACTCAGCCCCAAAGTAATTTCCTGAAACAGTTCCACCCCCAGGTGTAGTGTCATGGTCCCGGTGTCTCAGGAGACCACAGTTTTCGTAGAGCCAAACCATGTGCAAACCGGAGTACGAACTGGAAGACGAGCCTGTGAGCAGCATCCTGGTGATCTGTGATCTAGTGTATTGCATTTTATTGTAGAATGCATGGGGGCACGTAGACCCAGACCTTGTGCAAATTGGAGCACGGAGGCACGTGAGGCACCGGATTCTGCAACAAAAAAATCTCTGAGCCGCATCCTGGAAACTCCACGACAGCCCATGGCACAACTCAGGAGCATCCTCGGGAGCGTGGATTTCCACGGCAGTCTCACGTTGCCTCTAGTGTTACTAGTGTTTTGCAATTGATTGCAGAATGCATAAGGGCACGTAGACCCAGACCTTGCACAAATCGGACTACGGAGGGACGTGAGGCACCGGATTCTGCAATAAACAAGCCCGTGAGCAGCATTTTGGAGATTCTACCGCAGCAGCCTCCAGTGTATTGTGTAATTTATTGCAGAATGCATAGGGGCAAATAGACCCAAACCATGTGCAAATCGGAATACGGAGGCACTTGAGGCACCGGATTCTGCAATAAACAAGCCTGCACGCAGCATCCTGGGATTCCACCGCAGCAGCCTCACGTTGCCTCCAGTGTATTGTGTAATTTTTTGCAGAATGCATAGGGGCACGTAGACCCAAACCATGTGCAAATCGGAATACGGAGGCGCGTGAGGCACCGGATTCTGCAATAAACAAGCCTGTGAGCAGTATCCTGGGGATTCCACCGCAGCAGCCTCACGTTGCCTCCAGTGTATTGTGTAATTTATTGCAGAATGCATAAGGGCACGTAGACCCAGACCTTGCGCAAATCGGACTACGGAGGGACGTGAGGCACCGGATTCTGCAATAAACAAGCCTGTGAGCGCAAGCCATGTGCAAATCGGAATACGGAGCACCGGATTCTGCAATAAAGGAGCCTCTGAACAGCATCCGGCCCGACCTGAGCACTTGTGATCACGTGCATTCATGGATCCAGCATTAACTGGTCTGCAATGACGCTTTGTGTATCCACGCTGGCCTTAGATGGTGGGCCCTTGTCTCCCTCTGCTTCCAGTAGCCGCATCGGGAACCCTGGAAAGCCCCCGCGCTTCCTAGCAGAACAAAGGGCTAAATAATTTTGGGGTACGGATGACTCGAGAAGAGCAGAGTGTTTTGCAGCAGGTCTGGTGCCATTTCATCGAACAACAAACTCGGAATCAAAAACTGGGCACGTCTGCATACCCTGCTGTCGCTGGAGCCTACAAAATCGAACTTTGTGGCGGAACAACACGCAAAGCTTAATTCTGAACATCTTGATAGGTTGGAACGAATATCCACCGATACCGATAAGCATGTCCATCACAAAGATTGTTTATTGCAGAATCCAACGTGGAACGTATCATTCGGCAATATTTCAAGCCTCAAGACCCAATCTGCCCCAACCATGGCTTATTGCAGAACAAAAGCGTTTCAATATACGTACGTGCACCCATTCTGCAATAAACCAATGATGATCAATGACGGGAGATACCTAGAACTTGGGAGCACCTTCGACTTTCTGTGGCAAACTCTTGCCTCAGCACAGAAGCCTCGGCCTTAGGTGGCCCTGCCTTGGCTGCACATGCCGGGCATGGGCCGCAAGCTATGTATATTCACCCATCTCGCAATCGTGGAGTCCCTGGAGACCTTCCCCCTAGGCCCTAGGCCCTACCCGCTTGTTCACGTTTCTTGCCAATTCTGATCGAATGTGACACCTTCGTTTGCACACGTTTGCACCAACATCCCGTCACGGCCTCTGAGTCTGCAAGGATTGTAGACCTTGTCAAGATGCTTCTCGCAGTTCTGCTGTGAGGCTTGTTTGTCGCCTGGAACCTACCATGATTCTTCTGAGAGATCAGTGGCCGGCTCGAGCTCTTCAAAGATCTTCACTCACAACACAAGATACCCGCGCCACCCCAGGGGAGACAGCTTTGTGGCATCGACCCGCCGCACATGAGTCTGCTCGCGCCAGTTCTCGAAAAGCTCTCTGGTGGCTACCTACGCCTATACAGCAGCATCATTTGAAGCTGCTGTCGTGAAACGTTGAAACGCTAGCTCAAGCTGTACTGGCATCCTCATGACAACACAAAAGAGAGCCTTACGAGTAGCAAACTTAAAAGGCTACGAGTATTGTGCCGAATGAAAACAGTAGTGCGGTTGTCGGAGGATACAAATCAAGTATGAATTTCTGCAGTAGTATCCGCCAATCCACAATCTTGCTGCTGTGGAGACAGCTGGACAACTGCGCAGGTGGCAGGAGTCGCTAAGAAAGCATTATCCAGGCACGCCCTTGGCATCAGAACTCCATATCCCAACCCGGAGATGGGTCCTAGGTCAGACCAAGAATGTGTAGCAAATGACATCTGAGCGAAGTGGCTGCGTATCTCTTGCATGAGTAAATCTGTCCGGCACTCTCAACACCACTTCACCCCTCTCGAATGTGGCACCTGCCAGGGCTCCTCCGGTGCCGCGCAGCGGGCCTGCCCAAATGTAAGACACAAGTACATCCGTGCATGACAATCTCCGCTGCACATCCGATGAACTTGGGCCCTATGCGGAATATGTTCACACCAACCCCTGTGAAAATTGCCGGCTAGGCCATTCTGTAAACGCCCCGTCAGCCAGCTCACTTAGGCAGATGTGCTTGGACGACTCTGTAGAACTTTGCCCGCCTCTCCAGCTGTTCTCGTGCTTGTGTTTTGCTGGCGTTGGATCTTGCTTGCTATGCGACTAAATCCAACAGGAGGCCTGCTCACTCGCCCTCTTACTCAATTGCTCATCCAATGACTTCTATGGTGCTTATGTTTTTGGCAGCCGTACAGCCGGGGGCTCTGAATTCCTGAATGTTTAACCACATACCCCCGCATACCTGCTGCCACGAATGCGCTTCGTAGCAAACTTGGATAATGATGAATTAGGGACATGCCTCCTCTTCTTCCACCGTAGGCAGAGGCTTTCCCGCCGATTTCGGGTTCACAGGCTGGCTCTTGTCCTGGCTGACTGAGCGACTGGGAAGGCAAACAAGGCCAACGCGTTTGCTTAGCTTTGAAACCTTGCAGTGGGACCGCACGCGCACCCTCCAGTCCTCAGCATATTTCTCCGTCGCCGGGATGTAGGGAGGGTCATACTCACGACATAGCAGCTTTTCCCAGCCTTTGCGGATAGCTGCAGTGCTTTGCTGAGTCCATCATGTCATCGTGGTTTCGGGGTCTCGGTACAGAATCATTTGGAGGCAGACTAGCTCAGGCACAGGCACAGCGATTTGAAGAAAGGATGCGCCTTCAGCTTCGCATATCCTGTTCATGGCAAGTCTGCAGCTAGCAGCTTGGCTGCGCTTGTGCTGGCCAAGCCTTCGTGACCAGCGCCCAGCCGTCTTTTGGGATCTCTCGACAAGAGACCCCGAAGGAGGCCTGGATTACACTCTACAGTCTTGAAAGTCTGCAAGTGGCACAAACCCGTGGAATCCACAAGGAGTCATGACTCGAAAGTTCTTCTGGCATTCATTAGATACGCATTGTTGTCACCGAACTTGCTGGCTGAGCCGCTGTGCAATGTGGACAGCTGACACAGTTGTACATGTTGCGCTATGTTTAATGCCGGGGCGGGCGCCCATCGTTTCCTCCGCCATCGGCTGTTTGTAAAACCTCGCACTGCCGAGGAAATTTTGGCAAGTACATGGCACAGATGCGAGATGATACGAGGCTGTGAGCTGCCGCCCCCTCCGCAGTATGACGCCCACCACTCGGGGAATCGCAATGGGGCTCGCAAGATCTGGTGGAAGATCCTCGGCTTCGGCCAAAGCACTACATGCACCACCTGCCAACCTGCAAAACAACATTGTGCTAGCAAGCTCTGTCCGAAATCTAGTCTGCAGCGGGCAAATCAGCATCCAGCTGGCCACGATTGGAGCAGCTGCTGGCAAACGGAAACTGGCCGACGACCTTGCTGCGAGTTCTCGTCAACTCTGCTCGGCTGAAGCTCACCTTGCTGGGCCCTCCACAAACTCATACAGGCAAATGCCCAGGCTCCACAAGTCTGCCACGGTGGAGTTCCCCTGCACGGGAGCTACTTGAGGAGTGCGTGTCAGATTCAAGCGATTTCAAGCGTACCGTACAAGCCTTGCCAAGGACCATCTCAGGCGCCATGAAGACTGGAGTGCCCTCCGGGGTCACACGGTTCTTGTAACAGAGTTTGAGGAAATCCGACCCCGTGGGTAGTGTACTGGAGCGCTGATATTTAGTGCGGGTGCTTTGTTGCAATTGCTAGCAAGATGGTACACTGTTCCATCGTGTTCATAGCACAGTTGACGGCCCAAATTTGGAATGACATGTGCCAATGCAAGGCCTGACTTCAGCTTGGCTCTTCCACAGGTGTACCAAACTGAGGATACGTACCAATCATTTGCATCATGGAAACTGTTGGAGCAAGCGAAGCCTGCGTGCCACTCAACAACTGCAAGGCCGTCCCAGCGCGGAGCGGAGATGATGCTTATGATGATGCTTCCTAGCTGCTAGCATCAAAGCGAACGGCCCTTCGCGGTCGAAGGAGGTCGAAGAACTCCCAAAAAAGGACACAACAGGGGCACGGCCCTGTGGGGATGGAACGGGCGGTGCCTTCAGGGGCCCATACCTGGTCTTGGTAATGCGCCGTGCGATGCCGAAATCGATCATCTTGAGATATCCCTGCACACACTGCAGTTTGCTCACCGCTTGCACGAAGAAGCTTCTCAACTCTGGTGCCTGCTGGTCAATTAGACAGTTCTCGCTCTTGAGATCGAGGTATGCGATGCCTGCCCAAAACTAGAACTCAGCACAGTGACGCAGAGAGGACCGAGTGAGAATCCGACGCCGGGAATGCAGAAACTCGAGCGCAAGGACAATGCATCCGGTGTAGAACAATGCCTTCTGCAAATAGCATGCGATTGGAGCGGCAGCAGCCGTGAAACAATCCAAACACAAGATTGGCTGCTTGATCCAGATCCATGTGCCTGCCAGTGATTCAAGAGTCCAAGTGCATCGAGTGCATCCAGAAGTTCGCCGCCGGTTACCAATTCTGTCAGGAAGAAGACAGATCTCCTCAACAGATATCGGCAGTGCACGACAGCCGACTGATACAGTGGTCCGGTACCAATGTCAACGGCTGGTGTAACCGCAGTCGAGATGCTCGTCCCGAAATGACCGCACAAACTTGACGATAAATGGATGGTCGACCTCTCCGGGGGGGTGCTTGTGTGAAAAACCATGCAAAACGAAAGCCACGCACGCCGGCTCCGTGCCTCCTTTAATATGTCCAGCTCTGACAGCAAGGCATCTTGCATATTTTTTTCCACCACATCACGTTTTCGGACGCACTTCAAGGCATACCTGCAGGGACAGCTCGCGTGCAAGGTGTGCTTTTGTCACTCTCATCTTGCGTCCCCTACCTGACTCCAGTCTTCTTGGCGCGAACCATCTTCACAACTCCAAAACCACCTCGTCCGATGACCCGGACGAACCTCTCACAGTCACGGCAGTTAGGCAAGGCAGCGCAGTGCTGCAAGTAATGCGCAATCATGCACTAAGGCAAGGGCTCGAGGTCTTTAAAAGTCAAAGCTGTGTCCTCTGGGGCTTCGTTAAACATCTAGAGCCAGCAAGCACTAGAGCCCAAGACAGGACAGTGATGTCCTGCAAAGAGATCCGGTCTTTGAGGTAGTCCAGACACTGGCCTTGCCTGCTGTCGTGGGTGCTGGGTCTTCCCGGACATGTCAGACTCTAGGTAGGGCCCGGCATCATTTCCTGGAAGGTTTCTTTACCCATTTTCCAAAGCTCTGTGTCCTGACACATGCGTGCCAACATGAGAGGACTCCCAGCGTGCTTGCAAGCCCTCTCCTCCAGAGCAGTGATGCTGGCACTGCGAACTTCGTTGCCCAGCAAAGCACGCTCCCCGAAATAATCCGTATGGCCAAGCCTCTCACGGCTTTTCTTACAACAGGAATGCCTTCTGTCAACTTTGAGTGGGAAGATCCGAGGACATTGCCGGCGCTTCAAACAGCCATCGATTTCGACGCTGACTGCACCCTTTCGGATGATGTAGAAGTGCCTCAAAGAAGACCCGTCACATCTGCCAGCCTGTCGCAGCATAGGCTCCGACGTTCCTTGATCACCTTGTGCAAAGACCTCTGCTGCAAGGCGGAGTCTCTGCACGAAGGTCTGTAGGGAGATATTGGGGTTCCGGCGCGGCTGCCTTTCTTGACAGTCTCAATCTCCAAGGCATGCGCCAAACCTCGGGCCAATTGAACCGATTTCTCCATGGAGGGTATCGGCTTCGTTGGCTACATGAGTTTTCCAACTGGGTAGACCGAACATTCCGGTCTAGCTACTCAGATTGCCCCAGCGGCCCCAGGCTCTTTCAGAGTTGAGACCGGTCGGTCTTGCGCACGACAACCACAAAGGCTCTAAAGGCTCTGACGTTGAAGTCGGTGCTTGGACAGCGTCGAGAAAACAAACACAGAGCGCAGACTTCGGACCTTGGCAACCAGCAAGTCATGACAAGCGCAGCCTTGACAACATCGACACAATGCTGGCCTTGCTGTCCTGCTCCAAAGCTCCATCAAAGTCATGGAACGTAAGGATGCTTTCCAGGTCCTATGGGATTCACGTGACGTCCAAAGTGATGCCTAGCTTCGCTTACTATGAACGAAATATAAAGTTGTCCTCGCGTTGCCAAACCGCGATTTTCGAATCAGCAAGCGCTTGGAGCTTGAGTGGCATCTGCCTTGTCTTTAGAATGGAAAGGAGAAAATCAAGGCATGTCTATGCTCCGTTCTAATTCAAACATTTAGGTGCCTCAAGCCCAACATGAAGCTTTGCCAGAAACTCTCCCGCATGAGCAAATCGCAAGTGCGTCTCACTCTCCTAACTTACAATATTGCACTGTCCTGTCGGGCTTTCCATTGCACTCTTCAGCGGCAGAAGTAGCTGAGATCGAGGCAGCTCCCGATTCGGCATGCCGAACATATGCAGATCGGACCTTTACAAGCTTGGCTGTCACAGCATACTGGCAACACTCTATCCAAGAACAGTTCCAGAACAATCCAAGCCCAGCACGACGCACCAAGCAGGTGCTGTGGACCAGTCGTAAGACTCCTGCAAAATCGGACTCCGGAACGTTTTCGACTTACCACAGCAATGTGGGAATTTGAGTCTTGGACAGCTGAACCTCGCCGTTTACAGCCATGATGACGCGCACGTCCTCCACTGCCACTTCTGCTAAGAGCTCACGCGCACAAACCAGGATGCAAAGCAGCACTTGAATTCATGCACAAAAGGCCTTTGCCTTGACTCAGGAGCTCTAACCCTGGTGATTGTTGTCCTGCTATCTCATATGCGCACCTATTGCCCGGAATAAACAACGAGCTGGCCTCCCAACTGGCTTCCGAGCCTGCGCGCGGAGAAATCCAAAAGTTGACGAAGCTCGACGTGCTTACGTTTGGACTCAGCGGCCTCTAGGCAAACACCGTATCTGGCACGCGGTGGCAATGGCTTCTCTGTGCTCTTGGTGCAGCCGGGAAAAATCCTCCACGCTGGAACATAGCATCAGTCATCCCGGACCATTTTTAGCCGACCTCGTGCTGCGACAGCACGTAGAAGACCCTGTTCCTCACGAGGACCTTCCATCGATCAGCCACCAACGTCACGTACGTTAAGCTCGCAAGCTGCACAATTGCGATCCAACAGTTCTGTCTCTCTGGTTGCACTTGTCTGAGCAAGCTCCAAGCTACCGACGTGTGAGCCAAAATCTACTAGTTAAGGTGCACCGGCCCCTTTTTGGTCGAAGCGCGAACTCTGCCCGGCACACCGCTCCGAAAACCGGTGCCAGTGCCGGGGTGCGCACTTCTGCGTCCGCTCAATCAGAAGGGTGGCGGGGGTGGGAAATCGAAAATGCGGTCGAGCCGGAAGTGCTTCGGCGAACGCAGGAGTTTGTTCCTACCGCACGCATGCACTACACAAGACTCTAACGACACGTTAGCCAAAATCTACTAAGGTGCAGTGGCCCCCTTTTGGTCGAAGCGCGAACTGCGCTCGGCCGGGCACACCACGTTGTCGGTGCTGGTGCCGCGGGGTGCGCACTTCGACGTCCGCCCGGCGCACCCACCCACAATGACCACAAAGCGCAGGCGCTTCCATACCACAACTGCTCAGCGGCCCGGTGGCAGGCGAAGTCTTCGGCGACCTCTTCGCCGAGGATCAACATACCCCCACAGTGTCGATGAAGGCGAGCCAGTGCAGCGCAGGCGAGCTTTATCAGAGCACTCTCAGGGTTTTGCCTTTTAAATCCGGCTTTACACCCACTGCACCGGCTTGCTGTGGCATCTGATGAGGGATTTGGGGTTTCGAGTTTATTCTTCGAACGCACAGTCTGGTATGATCACGTGCATAGTAACTCAGTAGTAGGAAGATTCATTCACCTCCGTGGACGAAGCATGACAAAGCTGTAGGCGCCGAGGTCGAAATAGGGCCGTCGGCAAAGTCCAAGCCAGCTGCCACCAAGAAGTCGGCTGCCACATCGTAGGCAGCGGCGGATGGGCGGACGCCCGACGAAGCCATGACCAGGCGCGGAGAAGCGAAGGGCGTGGGAGAGTCAAAGTCGAAAATGCGGTCGAGCCGGAAGTGCTTTGGCGACCGCAGGAGTTTGTTCCTACTCGCACACGTGCGCTACGCCTCTAGGAAGGAGAGAAATAGAGAGAGAGAGAGAGACAGAGAGAGCGAGAACCCTTGATGTGCCCTTGAACGCTGCCGTCTGCCGTCTGCCTGTTGCAACCTGCTGCCAAAGAGGGAGTCCAGTAGGCTGCGCTTCAGCACCAGCACCCTCGGGACTGCAAAAGCGACGTCGACGTGCAAAGCTTGGAAACTGCGCCCACTGATGGCAACAAGATCGAACTCATTATGTCAGAGCTCCAACGACGAAGTCCCATACTGCAAGTCTATGCAAAACTAGCCACAAAACCTGCTACGGAAGTTTGCGTACGTCAGTTTCAGGCAGCGGAAAAGACTGAGCTCAGCCCCAGGCTCAACAGCTGTGGCTGCAGTCAAGCTCGTCGGCTGCTCAAAAGCCAGTCCATCCTGCGGGGCTGAATGTCAGAATTAAGGTCAAGATGTCAACACAGCCAAAAGGAGTCTGTGTCCTACGCAGGCCCAGTTGCGCGAGCTTGCAAGCGTAAACGCGATCTCCGTAGGATCAACTCTTGCATCTCAGACGAATCTCGAAAGCTCACACTCGCAAGACTATTGAGAGAAAAAACGTGCGAACCTTTTCACAGAGTCGTTGAACAAATTACATCCCGTGGGTGCAAAATCACAAATGAAGAGTGACCGAGTTCGTTCATGCTTGAGATTTGCAGGCACAGAAAGGTCCGCGGAGACGTCTCATGCGTAAGATCGCAGCAAGCAAGATATTCTTCCCACTGGCAGCACGAGCACTGAGTTTCGCGAGAGCATCCCAAAGTTACAGTCGTTGGACCAATGCAGCGTCTGCCATGCCCCTGCACCCAGCCATGTAGCCGCATGCCCGTCCTCGAACAAAAGTGCCCGGTCTCCCATCAAGTAGAACCTGGAAACTACATTTAGCAACGGCGAGTTTCAATACACGTAGGTCAGGAAGCTGGAAATTACGTTATAGTTATGGCCCATGGCATAGCCTGGCCTAGGAACTCTGCCCATCTTCTGTCCTCCTGACCTTGCCAACCGTGCATCGGACAGCCAATATCGAATGCCTGTCTGCTGATGCACGGATCCCGCCACTGTGGGCAACGCGTCGAGTCTACTTCTCCACTAAAAAGGATGAAAACCTTGCAGGCACCACGAAAGACCAGCAACTCGGGTGAGCAGAGAAAGCTTGTGCTTGTGGCCTCGTTTGGCAAGTCGCCTTCCTCGAGAACTAGCTCCCCCGTTTTGAAGGATTTCATCTCGACCTCGATGAGGATATCGAACACTTTTCAACAGTTGAAAGCGGCTACATCTTGCTGGCACACACGCGGTGGCGCCTGATCGTAAAGGCTTTGAAGCTGGTATCCGTTCAGGCCAGACCTGAAAACAGCTCGAGGTGTCTGCACCTCTTTCGCTGGCAGAGCCCCCCACAAAATCTCGCACTGATTCGACTTGAGCACCTCCCAGCTCTAGAGACTCTAGAGTCTAGAAGCCTGAAGGAGGTGCAGAGCTCAGCCTCATCCATTGCTTCGACGACATTTTGCCGCATTTGTTCATACTGCTGCCGAAGTAGCTCGCGTACCTCAGAATTCCGTCGCTTCGCAACGTGCTTGGGCAGAATTGTAGCAGCAGGGAGCTCCCACAATCGTCTCTCTCAGCCCGGGTCTTGCATGCCTGCCATGCCATAGGCACGAGAACCTGCACGTAGAGGCTTAGGTAGGCTTCTGCGGCCAACCATGGCCCCCCCACAGATTCTAGGCTCTGCACATCCTTGGGAACAGACCTTGACGGCAGGGAAAATGCGGAGAGCGTGGACTTGCGGGGTTGAGGTCGGAGCTGTGGCACTCCGTTCGCCATGGAGCAACAAAACGCTTTCGCCGAATGAAGATCCCGGCCTTGCTCCAAAACTTGACGCAGCACCGCAGACATGCTCTTTAGCCTTGGCTTTTAGCCCAATGTAGCAGCGTTTGCAGTTGTCCTTTACGATATAGAACTCCCCGTGCGCGACCACGAAGAAGTGCGTACCTTTCGTGCACTTTGCACCAGGATGAAGAAAACAGGAGAAAAACGGAGAGTATCGCAACCCGCGGATGTCCAGGTGCCCCCACCATTTAGATTGGCACCTATAGATGTCAACCCACCAAATGGGAGGCTTGAGTGGGATGCAAAAACCTGCGAGCGGCACATCTTTGGCGGAGCGCTGGTCAAACTCGCGTGTTCGACCGGCGAGGCGCGTTCGGTGGCGGGAGACTTTTGCCTGGCTCCCATAGCCTTGCAATCCTGCTAGAAGCCATCTGGTGTTCCAGTTGTAGAATTTAGGAACTGATTGAGGATGAAGGAGAAGTCCATCCTAGCCGGAACCTGCGACAACTCTCCGAAAAACAGTCTGAGGAATTGAGAATATTGAGAGATCCAGGACTTCCCAATAGAAGCTGCATGTTGTTCTATTCCCAAACAGTGCTGTCTCACACTGCTGCAATTTATTAGGGCTCTTTCGTTAGGGGTAAGAAGATGTAAAAAAGATTTGGCTCACATGGTCGCGACTGGCGCCCAAGGCGGTTCCTCTGGAGACGCACAACGCATTGATACGCATTGCAAGGGCTTCCATTTGGCCGCGTGTTGTCCCGCCAGAGTCCCGCGACGGCGCAGTGCACATTCTTGCTTGCGATTGGGGTTTGCACCTCCCAAAATCAAAATGCTGGTGCCGCCTCGGTTTCGCGTAACTTCTGCGGTCGGATTATGTCGGATTCGTGCTCCTGCCACATCCTGCCACTGCCAGTGTGGTGCACCTGTTGGCTTCATGGGGTGGTCTTAGTCTTGGGAGCCTCAGTGAGTAGGGGGGGCTTGCTTCCATTGCTACTAGATTTTTTCACAGTTTGGGGCCAACTAGTATAATTCACTCCGACCCCGACAACGGAATGATCAGCGAAACTCTTCTGCCGTGGAATGCGTTGGCGCACCATCGGTGTCTCCCTGACGCACAACCTTCTCACCAGGCTGGAACTCATACACTTCCATGGCCTCGGATCTGTACCGTCAGCCACACAAAACCGGGCAACCTTTGTATCTACATGTCCGAGCAAACCGATCCTCAATGAGGCAGTGCAAAGAATCGTCATCGAAGGTCTCGAAGAACGCGAGGTTGCCTCGAGGCAGCCGGACACATGTCCAGTTTCCATCTTTGCTGCTACCCTTGTTCAGGGGTCAAAGATGCTGCGAGTCGGGCGCAGTGTGTTGCGGAGAAGCTCTGTGTCCTTAACGGCTCTGGCAACCTCGGGCACACGTATGCCACGTTCAGCATCGGCTGTGGCACAAAATGATTTACAAATGATTTACAATGGTTTACAGTCCGAGGCTCGATGTGACGAGCCAGATCGGCTTCGGGATTGCCACTGTCTGCCGAAGAACACCTTTCCAAAGCCAAGGGAACCTCAAAAAGCCCACAGAAGTCCACGTGACTCTGCATTGAGATGTGCAGCGCAAGCAGACTGAAGGGGACCTGAGGATCGAACATTCGCGTCTGCAGTGCCCACGTGCACTCGGCGCTCCTCCCTGGCTTGCCGCTGAGCCTTCGCACTGTGCATCAAATTCCTTGTTACGAGTGTCAACGAGTGCGAAAGATTTGAGTCGGGAACGTTCAGCTTCACGCGCACGGAAATCTCACGCTCAATGCCTGAGCTTATGGCGGCCTGGAGGCATGCAAAAAAACATCACAGTGATGGGAGTGATGGGACCTGGACCTTACACAATCCTGTGAGACGGAAACATGTTTCATGCACTACCGGGAAAGTGGGTTCGTCATGCTGTCCCACAAATCGAAAACAGTCTTGCCGTCGAGGCCTGCTTCTCGTAAGCTAGGCGGCCACCCATGGTGAAGAGTTAAACGGATGGGGGCTGAAATAACACAGCGGACGCCTTGATTGCGGGTGTTCTTGGCATGCTGCAAGCTGCAGGCTCTGAACAGCCTGGATGGTGGTTGCCGTGATTCCTCGCGTATTCCTGCACTTCAGGGTGCGGGTGCATGAGTGCGAGGGACAAAGGCAGAGAGAGAGAGGCAACGGGAGAGAGAGTGTGCGGATTCCGACAGCTTCATGCTCGGGTGACCTTTCTTGTTGTGTTTGTCCGGTGAGCCTGTGGTCGTTCTGCTCCACACACCGCCGACAAGCGCTGAGTGGGCACTGAGGCCTGAAAGAACCACCCAGTGGCCCAGTCGTGGCGGGCAGCGAAAAGCAAGCTGACAATCTTTTCGGCGACGGCCCGTCACTGGAAACCGCGAAAGGACCCAGGGAGAGGCTCTCGACTTGAATTGGCGATGCTGCGAAGGCCGCGTGCTCGAGGGAAAGCTCGAAGCGGCCATGGCGGATGTGGCTGTTTGAGGGAGAAACCAGCCATTCCACATCACGGCATGGTCGCTCGGTGTTTCATCATCGTTCATAACCCCTTGAAGCCCTTGGCCCTTGGGTTTATACGAGCTATTCGAAAGTAAAGGACATGAAATGAAACATCACATCCAGTGGTGACATTGGCTGAATTGTCGGTCGTGCAGCTCGAGCTTGCCATCAGCTCATGTCGTCTATAAAATGTCGGACAACTTAAAGAAAAGGAAGCCGATCATGACGGTATGGAGCCAAAAGCAGCTGCCGCCTCGGCCTGCTCCGGGTTTATCGCAGGGGGCATCACAATCATCACAGAGCAACCATGATGACGAAGGCAAGCAGAGGTGTGCTGACGGGTCTCCTCTCAACCAAGGGTCCTGAGTGCTGAAGGAACTGTGGTAATCACCGTTCGGAAACAACGCGATCGAGGAGGTGGGCGTGCTAGCCGTGCCGTGAAGAGAGACTCAGCTGGAGCTTGTAAATCCACGGTTGGAGGCAAGCCTATTGGGCATTCGATCAGTTCTGCTGTACACAAATCCTCTGAGCTGGATCTATGTATATACACATTACATGAATAGACTAGTGACTAGACATGAATAGGAAACGTTTTACATTGAAGTTCTGAATAGTTCCAAATCGTATGATGCAATTGGTATGGTGTTCGAGCCGGTCGATCCAGATTCTGTCGGAAACACTGGACTTCAGTGCATGCAGGAGTCGTTCACGCACCGATTCGCCTCCTGACCCAAAGTGTCGTTCTGCGTCTCGACCATATCCACCACATCCTCCTTCGGACTTCGCGCCGACAGCAAGGCATCCCGTTAATACAGCAGCTTGGGACAAGTTTGCGGGATTCCCCAAGACCAGATTCAGAACTTGCCAGTGCTCTTCCACTCCTTGAAGAATGGGGTTGCCTGTCGGTCTCGACTTGACCGTCTTTTTCCTGATGCGGGAATGGCCTCTCAGTTCACGGATTGTGGCGCTTGCAGATTGCAGTTCGCTGCGGCGTGCCTCGACGTCGACTGCGGGCGAGACTCGGACGGTCTTCCCGGGGCACACGTTGAGGGTCTCCTTTCCGGCTGCACGGGGCCAACCGCACAAAGCAAGAGGGCAGGGAGGGGGAGGTGCCACAATCCGACCTGCACCATCTCCGAAGTCACGTGAGGTGTCGGAATCCTCCCAGGCCGGGCCGAGTGCTCACCACCTCCCTCGCCTCCCTCACGGCTCTTCTCCGCTCCCACGCTTCGTCCCAAGCTTCGCGCCTGTCTCGGCTTGAACGGAAGTTGTTTCCTGTCACCTCGAACTCCTCGCGCCGACATGCGCCGACGTTCGGCGGGTTGTGAGTCTTCGGACACAAATCCTCGACTGTGGAGACGACCGGTGTGAGCAGCACGCGATGGTCCTGCGGTCGACACTGCAGGAAAGCCCAAAATACAGCGTATCCCAGAGAGGACCCTGCTCCACACCGCAGCCTGACCCCATGCAATGCGTCAATGCGCTGCCTCGAACTCCTGTGTTTGGGCAGCAAATGGGGTCGCGACTCGGTCTCGGACCGATCGACCGACCTGGCAGTGCCGAGCAGATCCAACGGCAGTTTTTGACTTTATGCGCCAGTGGTAATGACGCTGTCATCACTACCATGGGGCCTCTTCTGGGACCTGCTGGCGACTTTGAATACCGTGGCAATTCGTTGCCTGTCGACAGGCCAGCAAGGCCGTGGACTGCGCAGGAGCAATGACCTTCCCAAGCAACCAGCAACTTTTCAAGGGATTAGCAAGACTTGCACCTGCCAGCGAACAAGCACGTCGAACTTTCGAGTTTCACTCGTCGCCTACTTTCTTGTTATGGGGCATTCACGAGCTGGGCACTTATCCGAATGATTTGTGATTTGAAGGGAAACGAGCCTGGACCCATAATATTCGCCTCTGATCCTGTTTTTACGACCTCCATCAAGCTCATGAGATAGATCGGGTCGCAACTTCACTCACATGCTGACACTTCCTATCGACTTGCATCACTGCCATTCCATCTGCTGCATGGATCCCCGAGTTCAAGCTCCAGGGAACTACGGAGAAGCAGACAGGCATCCCATTGGCCGTACTTGTGTCGGTTGTCGCTCATGCTACTAGTATGACTCTAACAGAGCCTTCAACGTTGGGGCTGTGCAGTGCCAGGGTGCCCGCCTTGCTTGGAGTTTCCCAGCTGACCTTGTCGCTGAACTGGACTGCTTTCGAGTTCAAGTCGCTGTCCTCCTACGCGAAGACAGCGAGAAATCTGCCAAGATGCACTGAAGCTGGGGGGCCTCCTTGAAGAACGGGGTGGCCTGACGTTCTCGAACGGGGCGTCTCTGCCCAGAGAGATGTATGACCTAGCACCGGATTCGTGAAGTGGATAGACTCTTCCGTATCTGCGCGCTTACGTACACTGTTGCACACTGCCTGCAGATATCGACCATGACCTGCTGCAAGTGCATGGCAACACTTGCATGGCCTCCGTCTCCGCGGCCGGAAACACGCGAACGGTCTTCGAAAAGTTCGCAAACGTCTCCTCTCTGCCAGTGGGTGCGATGAGATGCGGTGAGTATTTCATGGATTGTAGTATGTTCCAGGGTAGTTCCGCTAGTCCTCGATCATGCTGGAGCTGACATGGGGTGTTGGCATCCTGGCATTTCGGAGTCGCCGGCTGCACGGAGAGATGTGAGTGAATTGATGCTGTTTCGGCGTGATGATACTTTTGTGGGTGTTGTGGGGCTGTGGCCCCGCCTGTCTCGGCTGGGTCGGAGCTTTTGGGAAGCTGGCTCGAACTCCTGCACATAGGGAGGGAGATGGGCGCTGAGAGCGACACGTAATGACACGTAGCTCCGTGTGCGACCGAGTGGTCAGCACTCCGGTCTGCCGAATCTTGCGGAAGAAATGCAGTGATGCAGTCCTCGACAGCCGTAGGAGCTGGAGAAAGCTGCACTCGACGATCCTGCGCCCAGAGAATGGTCCCCCAAGTGCAAAGCCTGAGACTTTTGCGAACCTGGAAAGAGCTGAAAGCCATCGAGGTGAAGGGTGTTGAAATGCGGTCACGTACCGGTCGCCTGCCGGCCTGGCAAGAAACATCCGCAGCATCAACGTCATTCATCGTCATTCGCATGGCGTGGGCACATGTTTGGAAGGCCTGCGGCTCGACCAAGACGGCCTGTGGATGCCGATACGTAGCGGCCAAGCGGCAGAATATCTTCATGCTAGTTTCGTTTATCCTCTCAGCTCGCAGCTTCAAATCCAACAGATTCCAACAGCATATTCACGGTTGCGCATCGTTATATCAAGGAAATACATTGGTGGTGTTTTCGCGGCCGTCATGTTCACAGCCACAGAAAAAACTAGGCGGCGGCTAGAGAAAGCTAGGTAAAGCTAGAGAAAGCTAAAGCTAGATAATTACTTTGCTCATGTGCCGAAGATTTGCGGCTTTGAAAGGATGAAAGGGTACGTCCGGAAACAAAAAAATGCTGGGCTTTCTCCAGAATGAAAAAGTTAAACCCTAAACCACGTGCCCCACCATGCGAACACCACGCCAACCTAGATAGACAATACTAGATAATGCTTGACAATGCTAGATAATGCTAGAAAATGCTAGATTCCGGCCTCTGCATGACGACGATGCTAGAAAATGATAGACAATGCTAGATAATGCTAGACAATGCTAGATAACAATGCTAGATAATGTTAGACAATGTTAACCAATGGTGGATTCCGGTCAGGTCCCGGAGGACCAGGGATGCTAGAAGATGCTAGTCGAAAACTTTCAGACAATCATGTCTACAGAAGCGGAACATGCAGTTCCCAAGTTCAGAGGTTGGTTTCGGAGTGAAGGAAAAGGTTAGCTGCTTGGTTTCTGAATGAAGAAAACGTCTAGCAGCAATTGTTGCTGAATGCAGGAAATCTGTAGCAGCCTGGTTTCCTGAGCGCAGGAAAAAATCTAGGAAAATCTAGCTTTATCTAGCTCCCGTGCTCGTGTGCCGGCTGTGAGGAAAACGGCTTGCACCATGCTAACAAAGAGTCATATCGGGCTGGCACCAGCTTTCTGGTTCGGAATGTGGTGCTCGCTTATTCCAACAGCGAACGAATAACCATCCGCAACTCGGGGCTTGCGAGCTGTATGCGACCGGGCCACGGCCTGGCTTCTAAAGCTTGGGAAGGCGTCAAACTGCTCAAACCGGCACGCCTCTGTGCTGATCGTGTCGTCGAAGTTTACACTCCGCCCACCGTCATGCACATCGAAGTCCTGGAGTAGACATGCGATGCTGACACACCCCAGAAGCCCCCTCACAACCTGGTACCTCAAGCAGGATATCCACACGTCCTCGTCTTTGAAGAACGGCGTCGCTTGACGTTCTCGACTGGACCGTCTCTGCCCAGAGGTCGCAATGGCCTCCAAATCCATGATGTTGTCATGATTCAATGTTATCTGCATTAGTCTTCCAAGTCCGGCTAAGGTCTGCTCCTGCATCTCAGCAACAGGAAAGATGCGAACGGATTTGCCGGAATTGAGGAAAGCCTCCTGCGATTCTAGCAGATTCTAGCACTCAAGCACGCTTCATGCAGGCATGCCACACAATTTTTCACCTTCATCCACGCTCCGGTCCTCCACCATTTCAGTGCTCACATGGGGGGTGGGGATCCTGCAAAGACATGCGGAGAGACCCGCAAAGCTTCGACTAAAAATCGAAACATGCATCTCGCTGCACACATCTACTTGTGGTGATTGTGACGTGGACTGGGTGTTTTGCAAGGATCCGGGTGGATCGAGTTCTAGGCCGGACTGACAGACGAAGCGTACAGAACCTATCTCTGTCCTGTCTCGGCTTGAACGAAGCTGAACTTCGAGGCCTTCCACCTCGAACTCCTTCCAGTCTGCAGGCTCTGTGCAGCCGACACGACAATTCTTTGTGGACTCTGCAGGCTTGAAAGTATCCCAGTACATCGTGCACAAGCCGACATTGCCATCGCATGCCCAGAAAGTGCTGATACAGTATGCATCAGCTGCGGCGCCCGTCCTCGACGGATGCATCCGATGGCACCACCACGCGGCTCTCCTTTTTACTATGACCGACAGAAGCCAGTCATGCATCCCTTTATGCCGGTAGCGCACGGCGACATCCCACCTTGGGATCAACCTTTCCAGCATAAGGAGTTGCGATGCGGTCATGCACCGACCGTCGTCCAACCTTGAGCGTATAACAAGAAAGGCCAGCAGTGTCAAGCAGAAACGAGCCGGCACCTCTTCGCAAGCTGCCGCGATTACACTCGCCTTCAAGACGGAACAGCAAGATGTGTATCTTCGATTTGACATTAGCGGACTGATGATCTGTTTCAGACAGAGTCGGAAGTTCACGACTACGACTCTGCGCACAAAACCGGGATTGTTTCCACCCCTCAGCCAAAAAACATCACAGTGCTGCAGAATCAGAAAAGCCCAGAAGCCTCAGTGCTGGCCAGTTCGTTGAACTGCACGGTCTTCTCCGCCACCGACTCGTCCTACTCTTGGGGACATGACTCATCGTGACCGCTGTGCCTCTAGATGCCACCAGTTCCCCTGCCCACTATGATAGAACAGCAACCCTCACCGTGGCTGCCATGCGAGGACTGTGTTTAAGGCCACATCTTTGGATGTGCACGAAAGAGCGGTATCCAATCAGTCATTGATCCCGCCTCTCGCAGAAAATGAGCTAACTCCCATTGTTCCACGCATCGATGTGCGATCCAGTCTTGGCCTAAGGCTTGAGCATGCCCAAAACCATATAAACCCCTTTGCAGCCGTTCACTGTGCAGCTTCTGGTCTTCCTTGCAACCCACAGCGGGGCTACAATCAACATGCCAACTGCATGGCAGCTAGAGCTTCGGTGCGGCAGCACCATGGTTGACCTGGTGGTGGTATGCGCATTGCAAAATTTCAACGTCGTTTTGCAAAGCTTCATGTCTAATGCACCATATGCATGTAAAATGTGTACCGCGCTGTGTGCCGAGACCCAGTTTTGAAGTGTTCGTGCGGTGTTGCGCAAGCTTGTGCCAGGCACGTCTGGGGTAACCTGCTAACCGTAAAGGCCTTGCAGCAACATCGAGTCACTGCACAAA